TGGGGTAGGCATACAGCGTGACATTGGTGGGAGGGTAAGTTTGGCGGCCACGCCGGCATAGCCGACAGGGGACGAGGACACAAAAGCGTGTGTACAGTAGGGTCTTCTTTGCTCAGTCAGCCCGGACACCGATTGTCGAATGCAGTTATTTGTACTCATATCGGTCGGTCACACCGAGCTGACAAGCAAGTGAAACATAATTGTGGTTTACAAAAATTGGGTGGGGACAAGCAAACTGTCACGAAAGGGGAAAATAAGCATGGATGAGGGAGAAGGAGGTGCGCAGCAAAGACCGTCTGTATACTCACCTTTTTAGAGTCTAGAAAATGCGGCCCAGTTTCGAGCACCTTTTCAACAGAGGCAGCGTCCACAAACGTGACGAAACCAAAGCCCCTAGAAAGCAAACAAAATACACTGTTAGGAGAACGGACAAATTTGGAGGAGCATACGTCTACGTGAATTTGACATGACGTGACTGATTTCACCCAAATACACAGGTTTAATGTGATTTTGCAGTGAAATATTCCGGCCAACATGGCGTTTTATAGTACGCAGGTCACTGTAAAAAATGCATTGGGTGATATCAGTTCCGGTGTGCGTAAAATTCAACCGCATTAAAAGTTAGTAATCACAGTCCTGTGGTGAGCTTTCATCCGGGGAATGTTTGTGAATCTCGATTCAATTCCGAAAATTTCTACTAAGCAGATGGGAGCTTTGGACTGAAGGGACAAAAGTAAAAGCTCGCCGGATTGATCCGGCCCTCAAAACCGGGTGGACGGTGGAAATCGGTTATATGACCACCACGCAAAGGAGCGTTCCCTCTTCCCCCTAACACAGTTAGCCTAGCATGCAAGGCATTTTTCCCAGGTATAAATTTTAAGCAAGCGAAAACGGCAAAATTTATTAATATAAGTAAATTTCGAGAGAGCTCATCAACTGCTTCCTCTCCTTGCATGAATAACGAAACAATTGGAAAACACAGCATTTTGAATTTTCACAACATCAATAGCAAGGTCATTTTAACGTGGCGAATAGCCAATAGTAATGTTACCTTGCTATTATTGATTTTGTGAAAATTCAAAATGCTGTGTTTTCCAATTGTTTCCTTATTCATGCAAAGAGAGGAAGCAGTTTATAAGCTCTCTCGAAATTTATCCGTACAAATAAATTCTGCCATTTTCGCTTGTTTCAAAAAAGTTAGTCTAGTGCCAATTTCCAGGAAGTATAACTTTTTCTGGTAAGGGCTCCTTTTAAACGTCACCGTTCGGTAGTTTACTATACGTAAATAACTACTTATTTCATTGCAGCGATAGAAATATGAGCAAATCAGGAGCCAGTGGGAAGTAGAACTGAACAAATAATACCTAGGATTTGGCCAAAATTAGTTGACTGACAATTGTATATCGATTCTTTATCGATTTTTCGAGGTTAACGTGAAAGCATGACAAATATACTTCTTCCCTGTTTTTTAAAACGCACAATAGCTTCTAATGCGTTCGGACAGATATTGTAGTACGATTAGCCGAAAGGCAACCCCATGTCGTCAAAGATTTCTGTGTGGGTAGTGGGTTTGTAGTAAACTGCGGTAAGGTGATGTTTATAAGGAACCCTTACGCATTTTTCGCGTCCTAATGCGAAAACTAGCCCTATCCAAACCGCAAACCCAATCTTAAGCCTTACTGTAACCTTGATCCTAGCCTTAACTCCTACGTCCCTGGAAAATCGCACAAAGCCATTTCAAAACGAGGAGCTCCTAGTCGCCTAGCCTGCCAGGGGCTGCATATAA